AGTGTTCCTACTTTCTTTGGTTGCCACTGTGCGTGCTTCATTATATTTTTTCAACATTTTCGGTTTATAAATTTGAAAGCTATGACGTCAAGTTGAAACTTTGACAATTTGCTTCCGACGTAATTTTGCAGTAAACTTGAACCGCTTGATTCACTTTCTATAAGCTTCTCACTCTAGGAGCTGTACCGAAGATGTTTGTTGCGTCCTTCATTTTGAAGAAGAAATCATGTCGCGCCACGATCAAAAGCATGGATTCCAAATTAACTGGATTTTTACCGTTTTATTTGGATTTGGATAAACTTAATAATAATTTACAAAATGTATCCCCAAATGCTTGGAATATGGATTTCTTGTCGCTCCCTAAGAAATTGGTAGGGGCAGCTAAACCCCCACGAACACGATATATATTGGTGAAAACACAGCAATTGCTTCTCTTTCTAATAAAATTTTTTTTTACCTAATTATCGCAAAGTGCAAGAGTATTCTTTGATTATAGTAAACTTATTACGTTCGTGCATATTTATAGGTTTAATTAAATTACAAGCTTCAGTTTACTATCTCCTGATTATTTTCCTTGTCAGCATTCCTTTTGGTTTTCTAAATATCCTATGATTCATTTTAGTGTTTACCTGAGTGCGCACATGACACGTTCTTGCGGAAACTTTTGTGGGTGCATTTAGTGAATTTGTATCACAAGTGTCAGTACAGTATATGTATTAGGTAAGTGTTGTTTTTTGAAACCCTGTATGTACCAGAGGTCCTCAAACGTGGCCCTAAATACCCTCATCAATTGACCCACAGACGAAAAGTTAAGTGTGGCCCACTAAGGCGCATTTTCCTAATCGAGAACTCTCGCCGTAGTCCCCAAGAAAAAAGAACACGATGCCCTTTGTCGATCAATAACAAGAATGCTTATATAGCAAACTGGAGTGTTCACGAGTGCTGCTTAATGTTCTCGAACATTCTAGAACAAAACACATCATATTTCACGGAAAGATTGCGTTACATCCGCATTCGCTCTTTATCGCTGATGACTAATCTTTCGTGGTGCCTCGATGTCTATAGGGGTTTCTGGAATATTCGCTAATGCAATGTAACTCTACATGAAAAATGTTTTCCCCAAGAATAATAACAAAACATCGCATGTGTCTTGATGAAAATTATGAGAAAGTCATGGACTGTGTGGAATCAAGATATGAACTTGCAAATTGAATACAACGGGCGTGAGTTGCTTAAGTTTGTATTAAATGGTCACCTTATTGCGCAACAGAAATTTGAGTTGCCAAAATTGTACGATCCAATAGAAACGCAAGTGAGGTATCTCTTGGAGACTTTCCTCAGGTAAGCCAACATCAATCGCGTAAGTGCCGAATGTGTTTAAAATGTGTCGTTTGTGGTAAGTGAAAGTTTGGCTTTGTGTATCTGCATCTGTGGCTCGCTTGGTGGAAAAAAGGTAACAGAAAGCAGCAGGTAACGAAAAGGAAATTATGCATCAAGATACTGCATTGACGAACCAGAGTAATACACGTTTTGCACCAGACGTATTTTAGCAGTAGGTAATGGATGGAGGTAGTCATCGAAGCTACTATTCCTAAGAGACCATACAAAAATTATCCATGAGTTTCTATGTGGGCGAATATTCTAGAAATCCAGAGAGACATCGGGTTGCCACCAGACGCCATCAAGTCTATCGATAGTCACGTGCAATAAGGGATAAAGACGGATGTGACGCGTTCTTTTTGGGAAATCTAATCTGCTTATTCGCTGGAAAATGTCGTGATTGTTCTAGGAACTGTCCGTTTACTATACAGGGTGTTTACGGTCTTCTCTGTATCCTTTTAAGGGGCGGCAGTACAGCTCAAAAGGAGTCGACAAACCCCAAAACACCTTAGTAAAAAATAATTTAAGTGAACAATGTTGATTAAGCAGTAGATTGCTAGATTTGTACACAGATTAATCGTTTAATGTATAAAAAATAAAACAATCTCGCTTATTAAATAACTTTTACTAAGGTGTTTTGGAGTTTGTCGACTCCTTTTGAGCTGTACTGCCGCCCCTAAAAGGATACAGAGAAGACAGTAAACCAAATTGAAGAGTGTTTAATAGCAGTTCCAATACCGATGCCGAAGTGAGTATTAGTGAAATTCGCGCTCGTATGTGAAAAATTTATGTTATAAATTGTGCCCAATTACGCGCATTTTCTCTGTCCGTCCGTCCGTTCGTAACTACTCTTGCAGTTTTCAAGATATTTGGCGCCCGAGTAAAGAAAAATCTTGACGATTGATATGCACAGGCTGCAAAATATCAACTGTCTTATTTATTAACATATTTTTTTAATTTATTTATTGTCCCTCTTGTTCTGGACCCTGAACCGGCTTTCGCCCAATTACAGAGTAACCCACATAATGCTTTTTAGAAGTGCCCCTGCAGAGGATCTTAAGTTGTTCTATACTACTCGGTACCTTACGAATTCGGAAAACCGCAGGAAAACCAAATTCGGCGTAACCGGCAGAATAACAAAAATGCCAAACAAAAGCCGTAGGACCGAGTGCTCGCAGCGACCGGGTCATGATGCATGGGCCTATTGCGCTCAAAAGCATTTTCCAAAAAAATATGATGGAAATCGAGGTGGAAATGGTAAGGGTTCTAATCTTTTTGGGGGAAAATATACAGTGTTATTCATTTAGAAGTAGACGTAGGGATTTCCTATGTCTACTTTTAAATGACAAAAACTCTTCTGAAAGACGCCTAATTTTATGCAATCAAAATAACATGCGCACGCATTCTGCACTGTCATTCTGAATGTTAAATAAAAGCGACAGCGACAGCTTTTAGGATATGATGAAGAGATATTAAATTGGGCCGCTATTTCCCTTAAGTTTCTTATGGGATTGTCTTCCACAAAAATGAAAATGGTCAGTTTCATATCCTCGCTTAAAATCACTAATCTAAACAGAAAATAAGTCTTACGTTTCTGAAACTGATACCGGTACTATATTGATTGACAATGTCCACTTTTTCTTCAGTTGACTACATCGTACACGAATAAAAATAAAAATACGGAAAGCAAAGCAATAATATTCTTAGATCATAATATTCCAATTAATTAATATGACAGTCAGATCGTCATTTGTTTTAAGAAATTATTTTGGTTGCATAGAATTAGGCGTCCTTCAGAAGAGTTTTTGTCATTTAAAAGTATATAATTATAGGGAAAACAATAGACACAAATCCCTATGTCTACTTCTAAATGAATATCACAGTAGAACCGGGACTTATGCTGAAGGTCTCTTATGATAGTTTTAGCGAAACCCTTAGCACTTCACATCATCATAAGACTTCACAAGGGTACGGAATAACCCCCCCCCCTCCCCAAGACCACCCGGTGGACGTTCTACCTCAAAACAATCACCGTTCGGTACAGGGAACCGCTCTTTATCGACAATTCAATTTGATTCGTTTAATGGGATTGTGAATCGAGTAAATATACGGCCTGAAAGGTACCTACTGGTCTGCTGACATCTAGTAAAGAGATTTTTTTGAACTTGATGTATCTGAATTTGGAGAAGGCTGACTTGTCTTGGATCTCTATTGCAAATAAATATTTCTGAAAGATTTATGGTGCTTCTTGTTCTTGACCGTATTTAGATTTTAGAGTATGTTTCCAGCCTTTAAAAATAATGACTTAAATATTAGATACTAAAGCTAAACCCAGTCATTGAATTTCATTCAATTGTTCAGCGAGAACTCTCACTCAACGATTCAATGACCCATCAGTGGAAGATCCAGGTGGTCCTTCCATATTTTATGACTTTAGTAATTTTATAAATCACACATGCGCTATACAAATAATCCAAAGAGTGTCTTTCGCATTCCTCTGAAGAATTCCGATAATATCAAAGAGTATCTAATAATATGTAACAAGTTAAAAATAAGTAATCGTGAACGATTTACAAAAAGCGCATTTCCGCTTGCATTCCTTTGCCATTTCTAGGATGAAACTTCTGTTAAAATTTCGTAAAAATTCGGCCACAAATAAGAACTGCCTACTTCAATTTCAGTTTATAAGAAGAATCATACCTTAACATTTCAGTAGGTTTGGTTCACAAATGGCGAATGTGGGTCTGGGCATGCGCAGTATTTGTTTGGCGTGTTTTTAGTCGGATCGGATTGCGCATGCGCCAAATAAATTATTTCATTCGGCATTATTCGAGATGCCTACATACAAAATTTCATTTAAATATCTTAACAAATAAAAAAATTCATACGCAAACACAAAAGTTATCGTGCACACGGACGGATAGACATACAAGCAGACAGAAATATAGTACAAACTCGAGGATCGTTAATAAACGGCAAAAGTGTAAAATTGTAGTACATACCTATTGCATATGTATAAACAAAATTGATTTTTTACCTTAACATTTAACATTGGAAATGTTTATGGTTTCGTAGGTATATCGTAGTTGGGGTATACAGTTAAGAGTTTTTCATTCAAGCAGAAAAGACACCGGTGTCGCATAAAGTAACGATTGTACCGTACTCGACCGCGATCGGTAGATGACTGAAAAGCCGCGAATACTGTCGATACGGTAAATTTCAATCTAAAATTCTCGCACATGTTACGACGCTTATGATTCAGAAGGGAGACGTTAAGTAATCCGATTGAATAAGAGTTATTTGCGTTTTACATATGGCGTTATACCGTTATCATTTTTAATGTCTTCGATGGCTGCATGGATTGCGAAATCTGTAATTTTTTTCTTAAGCGGCACAGAAAAAATTCCTTCCTTGGTGAAGACCTTAATGAACCAAATAGCGTAAAAAGTAGGACATAGCTCTTAAGATAAAGAACTAGTAGCGGTCGAACGGCCGCAGGGACGGACGGACAAATTGGCCACAATAGCGCAGAGACGGTAGGCAACTTAAAGTACACATCGGTAGTGCCCAGATTAATATATCTTGGGTAGTGCTTTGTGTAAACGTAAACAGATGTCGTCGCTATCGCCATTCGAAAGTGGGAAGTGTTTGTTTCTCTCCATTATTAAAGCGTTTTTAAATCGTTAAAGCAGTTTTACTGTACATTTATTGAAAGTACAGGCCTTATTTATTTAAAAAAAGTACGTAAATAATTATATTGAGATATGTAGTTAACAATATCGCTAATTAACTATTAATTCTTATTCAATAATTCCCAGATAGAAGCCAATCTTTCTATTAGCTTTTGTTTATTGTTTGTTATTCAGCAATGTTTTAGTGTAGTAATAAGGTTGCATTGTACTCAGGCAAGCCCAAGTGAATCTGTTCACGATGGAACCAACCGACGGACAACAATACAACCTAAAATGGACAAACCATACGAATAATATCTTGGAAATGTTCTCACAGCAGTTGTTGAACGGTATGTTAGTGGATGTAACTCTCTTTTGCGAAGGGCAGTACATTCGGGCGCACAAGATGGTCTTATCGGCATGCAGTCCCTATTTTCAGGTACGCGAGTGTAAACGTTAACGGCGATAATCTTTCCCTTTTCTTAGGACTTGTTTCGGTTTCACACTGTTGACCATCCTGTTATAATCATGAACGGGGCACGGTTTATTGCAGTTAAACAAATGGTGGACTTTATGTATCAGGGTGAAATAAAGGTGTCCGATGCCGATCTCGATCACTTACTAACGATAGCGGAAAATCTCCAAATTAAGGGATTATGCAAAATTCGTAGGGAAGGGGGTGAAGGAGAAGCCGAAGCACTTAAGCCGGAAGAGACACCGAAAAAACGTAAACGAAGAAAATTGTCACAGTCTCCAGTAAGTAACATGCATGTTGACCGTTACTTTATTAAATAACGTCTGTTACAGGGAAGCGCAATTGATGATCTGCAAACAAATGGCGATTATAGTTCAAACGTAAGATATTAAGGTGTTTGATCTCGCATAGCTAACATTACTATTGTAGCAAAGCCTGGAATCGCCGACTGACGACGGTCCGGAGTATAAAAATTATGCAGTGACATCCGCTATGAAAATTACACGACCAAAGAATGCTTTCATGATCTTTTCAGGTGAATGGAGGAGAAAACTGCAGTTGCAGCATCAAGGTGAATTTTAGTGTGGTTGAATTTACCATTAACACAGCTCGTTTACATTGTAAATTGTACAGAATTTCAGCTAGGGTAATCGCACACTTGTACTGTGCTATGGCATTGCTTTATCCTCTCTCTTAGAATTGTTATTAACAATTTTGTACCAAAGATTACAAAAAATGTAGTACTACAAGTACCTACAATGCGATCAAAAATGAGTTGCTGTCAAGTCACCTTTGGAATTTTTGTTTCCATGGGAAATCACACTTAATTTGAACTTCCAAAGGCGACCAGCAACGCTTTTTTGATCGTCCGTTAGAACCCCGAATTAGATTGCAATAATGCAACCTCCTCTCCATAAATGGTTCAGCAGTCCAGGGTGGAAATCACACTTAATTTGAACTTCCAAAGGCGACTTGACAGCAACGCTTTTTTGATCGTCCGTTAGAACCCTTAAATGATTGCAATAATGCAACCTCCTCTCCTAAATGGTTCAGCAAGGGTGAAGTATGTGACAATTAAGTACTTCCTCTTTCTTAGTCATAAGTGACAATGGAAAGTGGCACCCCTGGCAAAACATTTATAGAATTAAATCCCACTCTGCCAGCGAAGTATCATTAGATATAATTTAATTTTTTTTCTAAACAGATGAGTCAAACAGAGAGATAACAGTCCGTTTAGGAAATATGTGGAAAAACTTTTCAACCGAGCAAAAAGATGAGTACTTTAAGCTTGCAAGACAATTGAAAGATGATCACAGGTTGAAATATCCAGAGTAAGAACGAAATACTTGGCCGAAATGTGTTTTAAGTTTAGTTTTCAGGTACCATCTTGCCAGAGATGCTTTAAAAGGGAAACGTAAAGCTAACAGAAAGTTGAAAAGGAGAAAGGGTTTACCGACAACCGACACCGAAGACAATGATGAGGCTAACGATATTCCCGACGTGCAACCGGAGCCAATAGAACCTAAAAAAGAAGTAGGTGTTTCTCGGTCTGAAACTTAATCCTAATATTTTTGTAGCGTCCCAGTGTAGATGAAAAAGAAGAAGAGCCCGATGAAAATAATTTAGTTATGGCTGACACTCATTCCAACGATTCTACCGCTGAAAACAATGAACATCCGCAAACCTAAGCAAGATATAAGTCACAATGATTCATTTGGAATTATTAAAGTTTATGTATTGTAATGATGTAAGAGATATTTTCTATGTATGGCTGCTATGCGCGGCACTAGAGTCATATATCATTCTTGATGTCGATATTTTTAATCGTGAATATGTAATTTAGGAAATAGTTGGAGAGTATTTAATAAGTTAGAAATAAGGTTTGTCATCACAAAAAGTACTTAATTGATCATTTGTACGTAGATTAACATTTGTCTTGCAAAACTGCTTTCCTTAGCTCTAGAATTCAGAATAAGTAAATTAAATATACTTTAAAATTTCTTACCAAAAATTCTATTTTCGATTATCTTCTATCCTGTAACCAATGTTTAAATTATGAAATGAAGTTATCTCAAGATAAAGTACAGTATTTGACAAAAAAAAGTGATGGAAATAGCATGTGCCAAAATCATAGTAAATTGTATAGTAACAGTAAAATATAAAAATCAACCGTTATAGAAATAAAAACGAATACGAAAAGATTTTTTTGCCAAGTAACATCCCAGAGGAGAATGTTGCATCAAATGACAGTCTAACATTCCATAGCTACTTTGCATAAGATTGTATATTTACAACAACAAAAAATGTGCCAAATTCTTGACAACAGCTTCCTAACTAAAACCAAAAATGTAAGTGTAGAGCGAAAACGTTTCCCACTACAGTTTATTGTTTTCCAATGTAGAATAAGAACATTCAATAAAAACTATAGGTTTCTAAAAAAAAATCAGTTACCCTACACTTGAACCTGAAGGGACAGTTATATGAAAATGTGCATAGCATCATTAAATGGGTCCCTCCATTTGAAGAAGAGTTGATTTATTTCATTTTTTGATACCCCCGCTAGTTTCCGCATTAATCGGCTGTCCCAAAAAAAATGGGACACCCTGGATATAAATTAAGTAAAGGTACGTTTCCTATGAAGCGGCCCAAGAGCTTTTCAGATCTTCCTTTCATGTCTAAGGGTATTGTGTACCTACCATTGGTTCTAATCGTTTTAGCAGGAAATAAGAATACAGACAGACAAACAGACCGACATATCGATTTTGTTTGATTCGGATTCCTGGAGCTTCAACGTGTATTTCCGTAAAAAAAAGCGGGCCATATTTGACCCCCAATGCAATATTCCAGAAATCCCGATAGACTTCGAGGCGCCATGAAAGATTAATCATCGGTCGATCGGTGCGTGACTAAGGAATTCGGAGGCGGTGCGTTTTCCTTCCTTGAAATATAATCCGCTTTCTAGACCTTTCCAGACGTTTCGAAAACCTTCGAGAAAGGGTCCTTTCACTATATAAGCAAATTGAAGCGTGTTTGAGTTCAGTTTCAAGTCCAACGCCGAAGTAATAAATAGTTTGCGCTGTAATAAATTGTCATAAATAATATTTTAGCTTTTCTAAATCAATTAATTTCAAAACTATTAGACATTTATTGTTAATTAATTGTAAATAAATAAATCACGTAATTAAATTTACATCACAATAGAAGATTTAACCGTGTAGACTGTAGCGTACATTTGTAAGTTGTCAGTTTTCCAGTACAAGTTGACATTTTTAGCGCATTTTCCAAAAGCAAAAGGTTTTCCGTTGTGGTTTCTTTCTTATACGGTGTGTAATGCAGCCCAGAGACCAGACGACGAAAGTTTATTTGGGTTGGTCACTTCCTTCCCGAGTTATTACTCATTCAGTGCGGGGGAAATGCGCTTTCGTCACACTGAGAAAAATGATTCAAATAAACAGTTTAATTAACACTATCTTAATTGTGATTAGTACATTTTTTTATTAGAGCCAAATGACTTGGTTAATTGTAGGGAAACAAACAAAAATTCTAAGACAAGTCAATCACGGCACATTTTGTCTTTTTTGGAACAATTATCCTAACAGCGATTCTTTTTACTTGATCTACATAAAGCACAAATAGTAAACTATTTGCCACAAATATACAATATACTGGCAGTAATAACTAATATATTAGCCACTAATACTTGAATATCAAAGATGAATAATTTTTTATTAGTTAAATGCGCAATTGGTTCGTTTTTAATTCAAGAAAGACGCAGTCAGTCATTGTCTTTTCGCATGTCTGCACGTGTTGTAAAACTTAACTTGTGTATGTACAGGGTAGCCAAATAAGAATGCTAGGTACTGTATCTGGGAACCTGTCCTTCGCAGAGGCTTGCGGTAAAAAGATTTATTACTAAAACAGCCACGAGAAAAACCTGGAAAATATTTTTAAGTTTCTACAATGGCCGCAAGGGGGCATAACTGCAATCTGGAATCTAAAAAAGTGATGTTTCTGTGAATTCCGCTATATTAACATAACAAAAAAATGTCCAGTCTTTGAAGTCAATTTCTTATCCTTTACCGTTACTAAGATCCATATTAACCGTAATAACTCGACACATTTAGCGTAATTATACGCGAAATGTATGGCTAATATTTAAATAATAAAGACAAACATGCAGGATAATGATGTCAAATGACGCATCCATCTGCAATTAATACTGTAGCTATTTACCACGAATTACTTAATATTCACTATTATCAGCATATTAGCTACAATGACACACTATAATCACCACCATTCAATATAGACTATATATGGCTAATGCTTACGTAATACGGGCAAATATGTAAGCGAATCGCCTTTAATAAAAGTTTTTATTTGCCCCAAACAATTTATAACAATTAACCCAAATACTTGTGTCAGAAAAATTTGTTTATCGACTAGAAATGAACTGTATTATTGTCCCATATTTTAATATATTTTTTATTTAGGAACAGTGAATATATATTTACCTACCAACAATAAACATTTTTCTCAGTGCAGTCGCAAGTCATTGCCGATACTTTCGCTACGGCCCTGGCAGATCCTTTCATTGAGATATTTAATTGGAATACCATGAAAGATAGAAGCAATTTCTAACGACCCCCCCCCCCCTCAGGTCGCCCATGGATCTCAAAAATTAGTCGCACTTGGCACCACTAAAGGCATGCGTATTCAAAATTCGAGACAAACTGGTTGTGGCATATAAAAGTTACGCACGTATTAATAATTCATAGGGGCTCCACCTTGAGACAAAAAATTTAAACGCCGCCGCCATCTGGTAACTACACCTTCAAGGCATAGGCTAAATCTATTGCAAAAAATTCCAGGTTCCCCTAAAAGTATTTTAAAATCGCAGAAGCGGGTCGGGACGAACGGACGGATAGACAGACGGACTGACAGACATTTTAAAAAATGCGCTAAACATGTTCATACATAAAAAGGATACATTGTTTAAATACTACAAGTAATTACTTCTCTGCTCTGAAAGGCTTCCGATTTTAAATAATAATTTAAAATCTTCTGAAGCTTGCCTCTATTGTGTATTCACTGAAGTGACTATTGCTCATTAACTTTCAGCACCCTGACGTAGTCAAACTAATTAAACAATAGAAAGAGAAATACAAAGATGTCAACAACTCCGGAAGGGGAGAAAGAAAGCTCCAGAAAGAATCCTTAACCTAGAACCATAACCATAGTATATCTATAGGTACCATTGAATTTATAACTATATTTTATTTATAACTATAAATTCAATATCTAGTAGTTCAAATAACTTTGCAACAATCAAAGGCTAAGATTTAAATCTTCATGAAAACTATCTTTGATTTTGAACTTAAAAATATGATTTAAATCTTTTAAAAAGATTTAAATACTTTCGAAAAGATTTAAATCGTTTCCGAGTGATTTAAATCTTTTAGAGACGATTTAAATACATACTAACAAATCCTTTTGGTTTGTTTCAACCTGACTAAGCTAATTAACCCGGGTTTTATTTCGGTAGACGTTTATATGTATTTATTATAAAATCGAGTATACTGAGATTGGCGATGTCTTGGTTTTTTAAAATTTCTTTCGCAAAAAAATACATATTTTAATTTAATAAATAATAACAATAAGATACGGTAGAAATGGTAGGTATATTGATGAACGATGTTGAGAGTTTCGAGCAAGATGATCAGACCAATCAGTTTTATTGAATTTAAATCCTTTACAAACCTTTTGTCACAAAACGATTTAAATCCTTTCACAAAACGATTAAATCATCGGAAAAGATTTAAATGATTACATCATTACATGATTTAAATCTTTATACGTGATTTAAATTAACAAAAGTAGATTTAAACCTTTTTGAATGAATTAAATACATTGAAAGTATCTTAAATACTTTCTAAAAAGATTTAAATCACAAAAAATATTTAAATCTCAAAATGATTTATTATCTAAATACTTTCTTATTGACAAAAGTATCTTTGATTTAAATCATTTGTTAAAATGAATAATGCATCTTTGATCTTTGATTTTAATCGTTTTTTAAACGATTTGTGATAGCTCTGACCCTGGGTGCATAAAAACCAGATGAAAAGCAGATTCAGATTATATCGGTAATAGATTACTTGCAAAACTATCCTCCTACGGTATTCGAGGTATTCCTTTGAAATGGTTAAACAACTTTTTGTGCAACAGGCACCAATACGTCTCATTAACACACACTTCGGAAAGTACCAATAACTTCATAAATTCAAATACTGTGACACTTAATGTAGGCACTCCACAGGGAACAGTTCTGGCTCCAATTTTGTTTATTCTATACACAAATGATCTTATACAACATGCACAGGAAAACGCTGTCATCACCCTATATGCTGATGATACATCTATAATTGTTTCAGACAGAGATAGAAATCGTATCGCAAATAAATGTAATCAGACCATGCGGAATATCAGTAATTGGTTCAGTGAAAACTTCCTTTATTTAAACGAAAATAAAACAAAATTTCTTCAATTCCATAATCGCCACAATACAAATATTCCTTCTATTAATATTTGCATTGATGGCAATCAAGTGAATAAATCCGATGCTGTGAAATTCTTAGGTATAACACTAGACGAAGCCCTAAGCTGGAAACCTCATTGCGAAAACTTAGTGTCACACTTAAACCGTCTTTGTTACCAAATGCGATACTTGAGTAACTATCTTGATCTGAAGCAATTAAAACTCTTTTACCACGCATGTGTGGAATCCAGGCTCAGATATGGAATCTGCTTTTGGGGTTCTTCACATGCTGCTTTCCAGGTTTTTGTAATTCAAAAACGAATAATAAGGTGTATGACTGGTGCCCACAGAACACAATCTTGTAGACAACTGTTCCATCGCCTGTCTATATTACCTTTAGCCTGCGTCTACATGTTTGAAATTTTGAAGTTCATTTACCAAAATAAAATAAATCTAGTCAAAAATAGCAACATTCATCATCACCAAACTAGAATATGCGAACAATATAGAATACCTTTCGGCAGAATAAACATAAACAAAAGCAATGTCTACATCGTTGGTGTAAAAATATTAAACAAACTTCCACTTGATATAAAAAACGCTATAACATTCTCTATCTTCAAGCACAAATTAAAAAATTATCTTCTTTCTAGAAATTTTTATGAAATTAGTGAATATCTATCTAATTAAATTGTCCTGTGATCAAGAAATTATGTTAACTAAAAAACTATCATTACTTGTTGGTCGTAAATTTATATATATATTCTTACTGTGATAGTTTCATCATTACCTGTTTGTCATAAATCTTAATGTTTGTTTGTCTGTTTACAATTTGACTTGTCTTATCCATGTACTTAAATGGCCAAAAAGATGAAATATATATTATTATTATTATTATTATTATCACGGCTCGCTTACGGTGCGGCGTGTATTTCTTATGAACATGGTTCGTACCGTAACCTGACGGATAATGTGATTCGCCCGCTGTGATAACTGACAGCACTGTAAGCGGACGTCATATCTCAGCTCACAAAAAAAATAAACGTGCAATATTAGACTAGTGTGGTCCCTTTGTGAGTACCATATACCCTCCGACAATCTGTTCTTGAGATATAAGGAAATATTTATATCCGATCACGATAAGGATCGTCAAGGAGGATGGTATGGTTAGTAGAAATTGCTTTCGTTAAGACCTTTTATTAGATTACCGTGAAGGATAAAACCATCCCCACCTCCAATATCTTCTCTTTTGATAAGGAGTTAGAAAGTAGGGCGGTAGTTGTTAGAAAGCAGTTCCTTTATGCTTGGAATATTTTTAATTTCTACGCCCCTTCCTCCTTCCCTCGCCGACCAATTGATCTCGGAAAGGAGGCGCGCAGGAAAGTTATTATACTGTGCGATCAAAAATGAGTTGCTGTCGAGTCACCTTTGGAATTTTTGTTTCCATGGGAAATCATATTTAACTTTAACTTCCAAAGGCGACTCGACAGCAACTCATTTTTGATCGCCCGTTAGTTTGTACAAACCAATTCATTTCGGCGAGACCTTTCATTAGAGCACCATGAAGGGCAGAACGTGTGTTAACACCCCATTTTTTTAAATTTTACTTAGCACCCCTAAAGGCACGCGTAGCAAATTCTCAGGAGACTTGGTTGTCGCATGTAAAAGTTATGCACATTTTTATATTCAAAAATGAGCATCTCAGGCAATAATTCATGGGGGCTCCCTTACTTACAACCAATGAGGATCTGCCTGTCATATTTGAATATTATCGCTTTGACTTCGCTATTCCAATTTCGGTTCGTGTGCGATGTATTCAACTAAAGAAAAAGGTGATATTTCCAATTGGCCGATAACAGTTAATTTCTGTGAAGCCAAAGTAACAATATTCAAATTAATAAGACAGCCAGATCTTTATTTGTTTTGATGTTATTTTAGTTGCATAAAATTAGGCGTCTTTTAGGAGACTATCATGTAAAAGTAGACATAGGAAATCTCTGTCTACTTCTACATGAGTATCACTGTATAGGTATTATCATTGACTTTACACACTAGTATTATGCACAATTTACGGGTAGTCTTACTCTAGGAGTATATATACCTTTCTAACATGAAGCGCAGTAAAAGTGTTATGGATACCAACATAGCCTAGGTCGCGAATCATGCGAAATTGTTCACATCGATATAAGCCCATGCGGGGAAGTCTCGGCCACAATGAAATTGCACTAGGTGCTTTCTTAGACACTGAGGGGGAATTTGAAAACACCTCTGCAAAAACAATCATAAGAAGTGTAGAAAACGGGGCACACTCGCTCTGCTGCTAACAAGGAGACTGTAGACATTTTGAGAACACAATGTGTGACAAAGTCCAATGTCCAATGTTAATGACAAAGTGGCGTTCTTTGAACATTGCATCATCAGCTTATTTAATAAGCATGCCCCCATTAAAGAATGTAAAGTGTCGAAACCATATGCACCATGGCTAACTCAGAATATACAGCTGATGATGTCGCTTCGAAACAAGGCTTTAACTAGATATAAAAGGACGAAAAAAGCTAGCCATTGGGAGTACTATAAAACTTTAAGAAATTATACCACCTTTGCTATTAAATCAGAAAAAAGGGCATTTTTAGAAGCAAAATTAAAATCGTCTAATAATAACCCTAAGGTAATCTGGGCAGAGCTACGCAAAGCTGATGTATATAGAACCAAATGCCATAATGAAATTCCTCCCCAGTTATGTGATGTTGACAAAATTAATAGTTCTTTTTGTACCTACACAAGTACACCTATCAATGATACCTTACTTCATTATTATAATAGCAATAGTAGACATTCTAAACATAAATTTAGTTTTACCGCCACTACTGAAGTAGAAGTACTTAACTGCATATATTTGATAAAGTCTAAATCGATAGGTCTGGATCAGATTAGTGTGTACATGCTGCAGTTATGCCTTCCATATTTAACCGACTTGATCACCCACATAATCAACTCTTGTCTTATCGCTGGTGTATTCCCAAATTCATGGAAAAATGCCAAGATAATACCTCTCCCTAAAATTAAACATCCGAAGGGGTTTACTGATCTACGTCCAATAAGTATTTTGCCTTGTATGTCTAAGATTTTGGAAAGGATCATGGATAGGCAGATCAGGGCATATTTAACCTCTGAAAACTTTCTTCCCCCTTTACAGTCCGGTTTCAGGTCGCGGCACAGTTGCACTACTGCCCTTTTGCACGTCACAGACACAATTATTTCTGCAATTGATCGTAAAAACTGCTAGTTCTTATTTTGCTCGATTACTCTAGAGCTTTTGATAGAATAAACCATGCTGTTCTCCTTGCAATACTAAAATTTATCGGATTTAACGACTATTCTATTAAATTTATTTCAAGCTTCCTTTTAGCAATAGAACACAACGCGTGTCTTTAAATGACCACATGTCAAACCCCATTGCTGTTACAGCAGGTGTTCCGCAGGGGTCAGTGCAGGGACCTTTACTGTATATTATATACACCTCCAATTTTGACACTTGTTTAGAATACTGCACTTATCACATGTACGCGGATGACACACAATTATTATATCAAGCTCCGACTGAAAACCTTAACATTAATACAATCAATAATCAACTCAATTCTGACCTGTATAATATAGCTAAGATTTCTGAAGAACATGGACTCCAGATTAACTGCAATAAGTCAGCTGTTATGCTATTTGGCCGAACGTCGATTATTAACACGCTCAAGCATGCAATAATTGTTGAGTCCAACGGGGCAATATTACCAGTCGTTAATGAATACAAAAATCTTGGATTGATTTTTGACTCCCAATTACGTTTCAAAAAGCATATATCTCAAATAATTAATGAAGCGTTTACAAATATTAAACTAATATTTAATAGCCGATTTCTTATTAATCGTAGTATTAAGGTTATGCTTTGTGAATCCTTAGTGCTTTCCCAATTTAACTATTGTAATAGTGTGTATGGCCCATGTATCGACAAAAGAGACTACAATCGAATTCAGAGAATGCAGAATTCTTGCCTTAGACTAATATTTGGTATCCGAAAATACGACCGGATTACACATAAATTAAAATCCCTCCAGTGGCTTGATATGAACAACAGAAGAATATTACATTCTGCCTGTTTGTTCCATGGCATACTTCAAACCAAAACTCCGTCATATTTATTTGAAAAGGTAACATACAGAGCTGACGTCCATAATGTCAATGTTAGAGATCGGTTTTTTATAACTATACCTACTCACAAAACGTCACTATTTAAACGCTCCTTCAGTTACAATATTGCAAAGACGTATAATGAATTACCATCTCATTTAAAACATTTATCCGAAAGTCTTTTTAAAAAACGCTTGCGCCTCATACTCCTTGCAACGCAGCATTAAGTTCCATCGTTAATATCATTATTGCTATAATTTTTTTTTTCTTTTTACATTTTTTTTTTTTTCTTCTTTTTAGGTTTTCATTTGTGCCTTCATACTGAATGGTTTTTATTATCATATAGTTTTTTCTTGCTAGGTTTTTTTATGTCTTGGTCTCTTGTTGTTAATTTCATATGTAGGGGGTTGAGTGGTAGAGCAGACGGAATAACACGGTTTATTCCAGTCTGAACTTCGCCCTATTGAGTCACACGTTATGTAATGTAATGTATAATATCTGTTCTTTGTATGGTGTGTGCTCAATAAATGTCATTATTATTATTATCAAAGTGAAAGAGGCCCTCAAATTCGTATCTACAAATAAGATGGTGTGAGATAAACTTCTCCTTTATATCTTTTACAAGAAAAAGTTAAAAAAAAGATCCACTTCTGCATAGAATCCTGCACGACATCAAGTTCCTTTAGAGAATGGTTCAAAATGGGATTCACCAGTACATTTTGGACATTTTCAAGACCCATTTATCTTATGGGACTGGAATAAAGGTCCCAAGGGTACCGGGGCTAAACTTGTATACCACTTGATAATCGAGATTAAACCTACTTATAAATTACTTACATTTCAGAAAGTTCACCAATAAGAAAAGGAAGAGTTTGTACAAATATTTATTGATGTATGCTTTTTTAAATGTATTTTTGTATGTCGTACTCTTTTGTCTCGACTCCTATATTACTTCTTGCACATTTTTTATTCATTAATATTTGACTAGTTACTTCTTCTCTCTTAATACTGATAGTAATATACCTATGAACAAGAGGAAGTTGTATTACATCTGCGGCATATGCTTTTTTATGGCATTTAACTAAACTAAGTGATTTTTCAACAAGTGACCTAAAACTTATAAATAAATACGTTCTATAAATAATTTGATTATTACATCACCAGCAATGATCAACAGATAACAAACAACTAACTAGAACTACTAGAAAACAATGGCATGAATGTCACCAAACATTTAAAAATATATTTAGACAAATCTACAGATTATAATTAAATAATAGTTTTTAATTTACAAGGCTAAATGAAACACTGATGTGACATTAGTTATAGCATGTTGAGCATAGAGGTACAATTATCCGTGTGGTAATTCCAATGAGACATGTAGGCATACCTAACTACGATCTACTATTATAGTTTAGATTATTATGAAAATTTGTTAAACTTATGGAAGAGGAACGTATGTGTATCTCTCAAAAAGATTTGCGTGAAGAGAGGAATGAAATGAAGCTGCAATGAACACCTGAATAATATAACCTGACGCAACATGCTAAAGTACAGCAACAACACAAACTGAAATAGTCATTTTACCATAGCCTGTTGAGAGATTGTGTTAACGATTACATTATGAAAAATGAAACAGAACTATAGGTACAATACAATAATACATTACCCTCAACGTATTCAAAGCCCTCAACGTTAGATACCTACTTAATATCCTCAAATATAAATATATTTTTATTTACATTATTTAATCATTTGCCGCTTATATTTACATAATTTTTCGCTGATATGCACATCACAAATTTACTTTTAACAGGAAAATTCAAAAATCAAGCAAAGGTATCTTTACTGATTAGTGATTAGCTATTGTTTTAATAAATCTTTAAGATATGAAAAGATATTCAAACAAAACTTTCTTCCGCATGCCAATTTAAATGGAAATGATAGCCTAATGGTCATAGATATAGTCCTGATCGTCTTGCCTGTAACGCTGAATAGATGTGAAAAATTAAGGAATCCCAAACAAACAAATTATTTACACTATATCACTAATACTGTTATACCTATATGACTAGATGTAGATTAGAACATACAATTGGTATAAGGGCGATCGTCTATTAACGCTTGCATACCAAAACTGATAATAAATCCTATAGTAGAGGAGACATATAACTAACGTCTTCAAATATACCTATATAAAAAACACTAGACGGTAATTGGTGGCCGAACATTTTTATTTACTATGTAGAACTTATGCTTTTCACCAATAATGCCCCAAATAACGGCGATGTTTTCAATAATAATGTTAATAGGTATGGTTAACAATGCTCCGCATATACAAAGTATAAACCGTACAAGACCGAATCTATAAATTGTAAATGATTTAACAACTCCAAAAATGTACATATAAATATTGACCGCGCCGATAAATGCACATATAAAATCAATAAGTGGAGGACAAGGGATAGGACAAAGTGCGGCTAATATTACGTTCGAAGTAGATAATGGAAGTGTAACCCAGGAGTAGCACGAGATGCAGAGCAAAATCTTCTTTTGCCAAGGTATAGACTTGGAGTGGACCACTAAAAGTATACCTTGAAGCCAACGCTTGCGCTGTTGTACAAAATCCGACAACGTAAACGGCGATTTTTCCCACATTTCTCCCTCGATGAAATTAAACGTATAGCCCTCATTAAATGCCATCATCGCGAAGTAACAGTCTTCTGCCACTGAACCATCGGGACCATTGTCAAATGACACTCTTTTTTCGGCGCCAACCTGAAAAATATGCATCTGTCAATATTGTTTCTATGAATAGGTTAAAAATTAAAAAGGGTTTTCGCCCTAAGGCGAGGAACTTTTGCGCATCTTCCATGCATTGAGGTAGGTATGTTTTTCTATATGAAAAGAATCTATGTGGTTAAAATTTCAAAGGAATGTCTCCATAAATAAGAAAGTTTGCATTGCGCAATCTGCGCATGCGCACATCTGATTTTTTACTACATGCGATATGTTTGCCTTTACTAGAAGCATCACAATCTATCATGGTTTAAATTTCAACAAAACTAAATATATTAATAAATAATAAAGCTAATATTGCGCAGGCTGCGCATATTAATCCTAAAACGTTTTCTTGGATCAGGTGCCACAGCTATAGGCGACCGAATTAAAAAAGAACGAACTAAATAAAAATAAATGAAAAAGATGCATTATGTAGCTGTCATTAAAACTAAGAGGAACATTTGAAGTCAGTTCCGAAGAGAAGGGCCCCTCGGACATTTCCCCAGTATCTTGCCTCTTTGGTACACAAAAATAGCGCCCTTCAATCTTTCTTTTGGACCCACCCAAGCTACCGTGTCTGCACTGCACATGCATATTAACAGCTATAGCGTATAAACAAACATTATTAGTCCATATAAATTTATAATGTTGCAATTCCATTCACATTTATACTTATAATGGCTATCAATTAAAAAGTAGCTACAATAAAAGCAGTAATTAACTTATACCTTATGAAACGGTTCGTTTTTTATCCCTAATTAGTAATTAAATAATCGATATCCATCACACAGAGAAAGGAAGGTCAAATTTTGTTTGTAATTAATTTATATATCGAAATAGTTTTATTGATTAAAGAAGTCATGTGCGAGTTGCAAATGATGTTGTACATCCACCCATGTTAAAGGGTTAGGTATAAGCACACGCAAACAATGCTACTTAAAAATTCATTATTTTAGTTGAATAACCCTTTATCGATTTTTAAAATACATCCGCAGGGTTGGTGCATTTATACCCTTACCTTCGCACTGGCAGTTCTTTATTTTGCATAGTACCTACCAAGATTCTAAGAAAGGGTGTGAAATACACAGGATGTGACCCATCTTTGGTGCAATAAAGTCCTTTTGTTAAGAGCAAGATGGAAAATTACATGGCCATGTAGAGCAAATTCGATGTTACAACAAATATGTGGAAATCAGTCAAATCGCAACTCATTATATATCTCACATAGATTCTAAACCGAAGTTTTTATTAGCAGAATCTTGCCCTCAAGATATGTAACTCGTCCCTCGTTCCGGGTTTCGAGCCTACAGTTGAATGTCGGATACAATCACGGAATTAGGTGTCGTAACTCATTTGATTGCACCCCGCGTGACTGCTGCATTCACAATGTTGGTTTACAAACAACAAGTCAGTACATACATTAAACGAATTAAAACAATGATCAAAGTTTATATGAATATTACTTCTTGTCATGTAATCAAAACAAAAACATAAATTAAGCAAACCTTAATAAAATAATAATATAATACCATGATCGTTATTTTTTTTTATTTGCGACATGCAAAATTAGATCGCTCATGAGTAGGTGGGGGACACTTTCTGACCCAAAGTACTAATCTTCAAAAACAAAGATTGAAACTCAAAAAAAATAAAAAATGCTGCATACAAAACACAAATACGATATGAAGAAATGCAAAAGCTTCTACCTGCATTAAATAAGACAAAAATAACAACAATCATTTACGGAGAGATGCTTTCATCACCGGCATTAAAAACAAGATGCCAAACGAAACCATCGTTCGTGCCCTCCAGATGGCGCTTTTCCCCTCCGAGAAATTGCGTGGTTGCCAACTCAAAAGTGTGTACATCGTCGTTGTATATACAGGGTGGAACCTCTCAAGTACCTACCCATTAATTAATTACATAGTTATACACCCGAGTAGGCCGTGATAACTAAACTCGTTAGTGTAGCACTTTTTCGTTAAAACTCCTACCTCGCCATCCGACGGACAGGAGCCTAGGAGCGCACTAGCAATAATTCCGACCCTGACAACTAACGATTTTGATGTTTGGAACGACGAGATAATCAAATGGACAGGTGGACGAAAAAGCGGACACTTTCATGAGCTGAGTTAAAAGTCTAAACGCCAAATAAAACATTTAACTTAGCGATGAAGGAAACAATCGATGCTCTATTTTGCTTGCCCTTTATTAATAATTCAGCATCCTATATAAGTAACTGAATTACATGACTATTATCCAAGCTCGCTACAAAACTAAAGGAGAAACTTGATAATTTGGATCAATGTCAAGATACAAGACAGCTCTGGATAGTTATTAATTAGTGCCAGATTGTCTCTTTTAGTATTATCATATCCTATCATCAGTAAGATATCCTATCATCAGTAAGATCACGAGACAACTTGCCTTAAAATTCTCCAAATTATTCTTTTTATTCCCTAATATAATAATGTTTTGTTTACTGCCTAGTTATTCAAAAGTAAACAAGGTACCCATATCAAAATTGTAGAATTCCATTGGTTTCCTGTTTTGTTAAATACATGCTAAAAATCAACCACATCCGATAAACGAATAGTATAATCGTAAATAAATGCAACTAAGGCAAATTAAAATCTTAATTTTAATGGAAATGGATGGTAAGAAGGCAACTCGGTGCAAGGCCTCTCAGTTTTGGGGAGGCGAAATCCTAACAACCCCATTGTATTTTTTTTTAGCTTACAACCATTAATTAACCAAGAACGGAAGTGATTCCGAGACTGGTGCTTTAAACATTGCGGCTGTAACACCATTACACCACTCCATAAAAAAGGACGTTTCCAGCTAGAGTCCGATATCCATACTGCCAACATTTTCTAAGGTTTATGAGAACTTAATTTCATTACAAATCTCGAAATACCTCGAGAAAAATAATCTCTTTTATGCGAACCAATTTGGTAGGGGCGTGCCTCAAGGAAGCATACTTGGGCCTCTCCTGTTTCTAATCTACATCAACGACTTTCCCAACTATATTTTGCAATCTGACGTTAACAACTGCATTAGCACTAATCCGATTTTCCGGTAATGTCTCTCAGAGACCTTGCGGACTTTGCCCTATGTCCTTGCCTGTCATAATCACCTGGGGCCAGTGCTCCTCCAGTAAAAAAATTTTAAATCGATAATTGTCGGCCCCCCTTCTAAAGTTTTACATCGCACATCGTGCACAGGACTTGGTCTTTCGGGAGGCGTTTCCAGTGAAAAACTAGTCAAACCTTTCGTCTATGTCCAAGTTAGGCAACTCTCTCTCCTTCTCCGATATTATTTCCCGGAAAGCCACAGTGTAGTTTGACGAGTTACTGACTCTAAACAATTACACTGCCAGTATACTTGATATTTTTGGCAGATTAGTAGTTACCGAACCGCCCAGTCTTCGGGGAAATGTTGGACATTTTCCCTTTACAATTTGAGCATTCAATAGGCGCTTCGAATCCTCATGTGGTGGATTACCACATACACATCTTTTCTCCTGCTTACAATTTGTAGCGGAATGTCCAAACCATTGACAGTTGAAGCATCTGAGGGAATATGGAATGTAAGGACCAACTTGCATGGGATTTTCCATGTTTTTTAAATATTTATAAATATTCCATAGAGTGAAATCATACACTTTATTAAGATCTCCAATACATTTCATGTGTGACACATTTAATAAAATTAGTAATGAATGTGATATATTTACCTGTAGTAAGAACTATATTCTTGAAATAGCGTCTAAATAATTCCTAATATCTTGGCGTACTTTTTTTTCAAATCATTTGTTTTTTTTGTATTATTGGTTTCTGGTGAGTATTTTTTTTCTCTTTTTTTTGTTCTCACTTTTAGCGTTTATTACTAATTTAGGATTAATAACTTTTCTTTATGTATTTTCGCCTTTGTCCTGTAAATGGGTGTTCCTGTTGGGCAAATAAAGCATTATTATTATGGTCGGTGTTTCTTGTGAGAACTCAGGTCTAGCCTGGTTAACTAATCGCACGGATTAAAATCAAGTAACGATTAGTGTCTGTGTCTGGTGAAGTTATGTAGGGTCCTAAAAAAATAAAATAAATATAATAAAAATAAAAAAAATAATAAAAATAAAAAAAAAAAATAAAAATAAAATTATTATTATTATTATTATTATTATGGTAGGTAAGTACTAGAGGCGGTTGGACTCGTCACCTTTAGTGTCCATTGATCGCCTTTTACGATCTCCAGGACGGGAGTGGGTCAATTCTACCCCCGAACCCACAGGGGAGTTAATACTATTAATAGTAATAAATAAATACATTATAAAAGTATTTGAAATTTTAGGTACTTACCTACTACTATTTGATATTATTGTTACAATATTCAATATGGAATGGTTATAGGGTTTCCGAGAGGGTTTCGTTTCCAGAGTCAATGTCTTCCAAGACAGATTTGGGAGTAGTTCGGTTTAAGTTCTATACTTTTGCACAATTAAAAACGAGTTTATTTAAACAATTACCAATATGTAGGTAGTATAAATTTACGTACCCAATTCGGGTAACATTTATCTGACGGATCTGAAGGAGGAATATCGTTATTTAGCTATACAGCACTTAGGTACCTACTGCATAGGTAGAGAGTTGAATGTTAGCTTGCAAATGTAAATTTAATACTTATAGCGAAAAACAAAACATTAATAATACTTCTAAATTTACGTGCAACCAAAAACTAACTGTATTGGTGCAAGATTGCTTTGTGTCTCGATGGTACACGTTCATTTTTCATTTATTGACCTGAATTCAAGGAGAAACATAATTCTGCAATGCGGCTCGAACCGTTTCGTGGCAGATATAATAAAAGGCTATTAGCAGCATAATGAGTACGCAAGTAAATATCAATAACGATGTGTTAAAACTATAAAGGTATTTTATTGTGATCCGCACTGCGCCAATCGAATTGGAGAATAATGCGGCGATCCTCTGTTTCTTAATATTGATCATCACCAGGATTTTTTCTTCGCGTCGTGCTGCAATTATTTTATGTTGCAAACTTTCTGACATCTTTGCACTTAAATTCCCGAGTAAATTCCCATGCATATTTATTTGTTCATTTCCATCCACCTGCTATCCACCCTCATCGTGGAATGCGGAATGTAATCACACATGTTTATTTATTGCTAATTTCATGCTGTACTGTGAAATTTATTGCCCCGCACAATTTTTTGTACGGAGTATGGGGCGCTAGCTGAAATCCTCATAATAATTAATTGCAAACGAGGATTGTAGAAGAAACTACAAGTTTCGCATTAATTGATGTGTCACATTATGTAACGGTTAGATTAGAGGTGTCATCTATTTACAAGTAAAGTACTGTAAATAAATTAATTGGCACCTCTTTATATTAATTGCTTACCGAATTGCAAGTGTGGAATTAATCGCTTCATTTATAACTTGTTAAGTAGAAGTTCGATTGGGCAACGATTTTAAAATAAGTAAGTGCATAGGTACTCATACGAATTAAGTATAACACTCTACAATTTTATTAAGTGGGTAGTATAATTTAGACTAAGTAGGTCTAAGAATTTATCTACAACTTCAATAACCAATGCATTCACGGGAGCTGTACAAATTCAACACTTCCGTTAAGTGCACGACATCCTGTAGTTATTATTAATAGAATAGACACTTTGTCACAGCAGAAATGATGATGAATAAGATACTATAAATGGACCTTGTTGTTTATGGACGCGCAATTTTAAGCGAACCCACACAGATTTTTTTCTGTATTTCGAGCTCGCTGTAACTAATTCTTCGTATAAGTGGTTGGGATTTCTATCCACGGTTAATTATTTATTGATAACTATAAGCACGTTAATTCAATTCAATTCGTGATTAATTATCTACACTTTCTGATTTTTTTTCTCTTGTCCATGTAACGAAATTCCAGGTTTTATTTTTGTTTCTTTCGCATAAGCTTTATGTATTCAAATTTTGTACTTTGTTTTTTCATTTAACGCAAACGTTGTTTATTTTATATAATTTAGTAGTCATTTAGTTAAATAATATTAATTCATTATCCATATATTTATTTCTAAAAGATGTATTTTTTTGTCTGTACTTTTTTTGTGTGTCCTATAGTTGGAGGTTTCTCTGTTGGGCATTAAATCGCTATTATTATGATTATTATTACTTACTAAAGGTTGGGGCGTTTATGTCCTCGATTTCCTTAGGTCAATTTTCAGGTGGCGGATTTACGTTGTGAGTGGGTTAAACTGAAACGCCCACAAATGGGTAAAATCACAGCTCTTTTTGCTAAATTCTATTATCTGGTTAATAAACTACAAGTTTCTAATTACCTAATTGCTGTGATAAATTTTGCGGAGCAACCTATTTACAAGGATAAACAGGCTTAAATACATTTTTTATACGAGGATTTTATAGAAATCATTTTTTGATATCCCCGCTAGTTTCCGCAATAATCAACTGTCTCAAGATAAATGGAACACCCTGTATATAAATTAATGCAGTAACATTGAAACCTAAGATTATGCAACTGGTAATCGCAGCTCACAAAAGCAATGACCGTTACACTCTCGACTACACGACGCACCCCAATTCGTCACGCTTATGCAGATGCAGTTAAACCCCAATAAAAAAAACACTTGACCCTTAACGGGCAGTTACGTGAAAATGTGCATAGCATCATTAACTGGGTCACAGAAACCATTTTTTGACTATCCCCGGTAGTTTCCGCAATAATCGACTGTCTCAAGTTAAATGGAACACCCTGTAGATAAATTAATTAAGTGACATTGAGATATAAGATTATGAAACTGGTAGTCGCACAAGTTTACCCTTTATTAAATTAAATACCTCGGGCCGGGCACCACGTTTCTGCGACTCGCGCACTTTTTTTTACTTTTGTTTATGTTTATTACTAATAATTCATTTATGGCCTACCGTCAAGCAACGTTGCTTCCGGTAGTACCCGTATTTGAATGGGTAACCACTCGAAAACTTCGCTCGTTAATAAAATATGTAGGTTACTATTTGAAAAGTTATATATTTTTAAAAAAGTTTGACAGTTTTACTATGGCTAATATACAGTGTGTCCTATTTTGGTTGAGACTGCCGTGTATCTCGGCTGTTTTCAAACATAGAGAATTGCAGTTTTCGCGACCCTGTGCCACTTTTTGTGAAACGTTTAATACCACAAACAGAATCAATCTAGTTAGGTACGTTTGTATCTGAGATACAGGATGTGAACGAAAAGTTTGACTTTTTGAGATGTTATCATATCTTACTACTCGTGTAAGACAGAAAAAAGGTGAAAACTGTCTCTTTTAGATATTTTTACGTAGAATCCAGTGGCGTAATCAAAAAATTTTTTGCCCGACCGGTTCTGAGATTTGACCCAAAATTGGTATTTTTAAATGCAACATCCTGTATATCTTAATGTCAATTGTTTTGCATTATTTTTCCTGATTACATTGATGTATTAAATAATTATATAAAAAACATAGGTTGTAATCCATTAATGTATTCAAGGAAAAGAATGCAAAACATTGACGTTAAACTATACAGGGTGTTTCATTTAAAAAATACCAACTTCTGGTCAAATCTCAAAAATGGTAGGCGAAAATTTTTTGACTACGCCATTGTACTTTTTCTACGTAAAAATATCTAAAACACATTCGTAAAAAAGTCCGAGTAAGTAAAATGTGTTTTGTTGAAGAATCGTTTTAAGTTGTATCTTTAAATTAATTTTATCCGAGGTTTTATGACAGTTGGTGATATCTTTTGGGAGTAGATTATACTCGAGATTATATAACTTCGTAGCAAAGGTGATTTTTTGTAGAAAGAGTGATTTCTGTATTAAGATTTTGCTGTTTCCTCTTGTATTGTAGTGATGCATGGTACCATGGCCTAATACTTATTAGGCCATGCATGGTACTACAAGAAATTCGTCAAGATGCGTATGGACGTGATCTAACAGATTTAGCCTGTATATGCATGGCACGAGTCAACGGTAAAATGTTAAATTTTAACATCCCAGAATGTCAAACCGAGGGGGTGATCATGAGGGAAATTTTTGTCCCTCATATAGGAAATTTCGAGGAAATTCTGGGTAAAAATTAAGAAATTTTGGGAAAATAGGAGGAAATTTCAAAGGAATGAGAAAGTTCTAGAAAAATATTAGGATATTTTAAGGAAATAAGAGGAAATTCTGAAGAAATCTCGAGGAAATTTTAAAGAACTACGGAAATAACGTTACGCCGTACCGTACCTAAATCCAAATAAAACAAATGAACGTGTACCTTGAAGACAACATGAAATTAGTAATAAAATGGTAACAAACGTAAGTATACACATTCATTTGTTTTATTTTGATGTAGGATATCTAGATTAATGTTATTGATGTGATTATAAGTTTTTTTGAAAAATTTTCTTGTATTAGGGTAGTAACATGTTACATCATCGAAAAGAGAAAAAAAACCGCTATCAAATGAGCCTAATGAAAAGGTGTACTGCCATCTAAAAAAATTCAATTGTTTTTCGTTACTCAATTGTTTTCTGAAATAAAAACAACTGAATGCTGCCTTATAGGAAATAAAATATTAAACAACTTTCATATAGAAAAATTTTGTATATATTCGACATATTTACCGAGATATTTACTATATTCCGCAGGGGCGGACTGGCCCGGGGGGGAGGGGGGGGCGATTGCCCGTTGGAAATTTATAAGTATGTGCTGTATTTAGTTTCTTGCACTATTAATAAATTTATAACACGTTTCTCTAATTGGGGTTGATGTTAGGTTGTTAAAAAATTCTGTTTTAATTGAAGTGTTTTACAATGAATTTATCATTTTTTGTCGTAGCATGAAAGTGCTGAAATACAATGATAGGCGACGCACCTCGTGTGGATTGTATATTTTGTTACTTTTAATTATCAGCTGCAATTTAAAAAAAAACTGTATGGTAATTGATTTTCGAGAAAGGAGTACTTTAAAATGTTTTTGTGGTGCACCTCAGAGCTACCCCCCCGGCACCTTCATTACTACACTAATACTTTAATGGCTTAATGGCCCTTAAGTACCCAGTCCGCCCCTGTGTATAACCTTCCTTTTTTACCAAAATTCGACTACACCAAAATTTCTCGGGAAAACACTTTTTCTTATTAATTTGGGCGCGTATAATCCAAATCAATTCGTACTTTTTCGATCAGACTTCTCAATCAAAAGTTATAGACTAGAAACCAATTTCGAAAAAAAAATTCAAAGGGCTGTAACTTTTGAACTAGTAGCCCAATCTTGGAACTGTTTGAAATTGTGGATTCTACAGGCCACATTCTATAAGAAAATTTTTTTTCCGGGTCGATCTGAGAGAATTTTTTTTTCGGGGCTCAAAAAAAGGCAGTGTATATTCCCTGTATAATAATTAGTGATTCAGGGTCACAAACTTCCAATTTTCACCCTCTAGTTACAGTAGGTATCTTTTGAGATGCGCGTCCTGAACTAAAGAAACCGTAGAGAGTACCTACATATACAGAGTGTCCCAAGCACCATAGGCAAACAGAGTCAAAGCATTTTTTTGCGAAAGATCCACGAGACTTTGATATGCATTTGAAATTAGCGTCAACGTACGTTATTGAGTTTGCCTGGTGCTAGAAAAAGATGAGAGTAGTTTCCGATTTCCTAGTGCCTACCACCTGGGACACACGGTATAATATAATAGTACGCAAACCAATTTATTTGAGTAAGTAATAAAAATAATTTACCTGCGTAACAACAAAGGACCCTTTCCAACTAAACAACGGCTTGTGGAACATATAAAATTGCAACCTGAGTTTTCCCATATCGTCGGCAACACGGAAGCTATCGGCGAGCGTTGTAACCCAATTAACAACGTCTTCGTTAGCGTACGTAATTAGTCCCTGTCCGAACTGATGCTTACCGTCCATTACGAAATTTAAAATGCCGCGCACGGAATTTTCGGTTAGCAAAGTCTCCTCGTCGAGATGCACAATCCAGTCGTTCTCGGCGAGAATATTAACGGACTCCTCCAGACAGTACTGTAAAGCGCGCGCTTTGAAGAGTGCACCCGATTTCGTGCGATAATTAGGTGGTACAACAACCTCTCGAATTCTGCGATGCTGTTGCAGACCGATGCGTTTGTCTGTAACGACTTCGATTAAAAAATTCTCCAAACCGGCTTCGATGCACTTATTCATGTTGCGGTTTACGTTCGAGCGCACCAGCTCCTTATAATCCCCTCTGGTCACAATGCGAATGCAAATAAAAGGCGCGAGCAACGGAGATCCCTTTAAGGTCACTTTGTCCGGAAATGCATTATACATAGTCATACCGACGAAGTTATACATTACTTGGGGTAACGGAAGGAAGGTCACTAATCTTAGAAGATACAGGACGACGGTCCACATATACCCGTACCGCACCCAAGGGTTGATTTCGAGCGTGGCATCCGGCCAAAGTTTTATTCCTCCAGTAAAAATTTCAAATATTGTAATCACCGTAAACAACGAACAACAATGAATACAATGTTTTGTTCTACTGCTCCACATTATTTTCGTATTTTCACTATCAAACCGAACCACTAACAACCTCGCCCCTTTCCGTCGTCACTACAACCCTCACTGCTTATAATATCGGATTATGTATTTAAAAACACCGTTTCGATTTTATCACAGTTACGTTAAATGAAATTGTATTGCTCAATTTGCCGGTAAATGTTAGCTGCTTTGCCCGTAATGTAATTCAACCCCTTGACAGAGCAACTAACGCTCGACGGCGGCGTCTGTCTAACGCAAAGTGGTGAATTCGGAGGGACGGAGTCAACACGGGAGCCAGAGCCCACCTATACCACCCGCGGCCTTGCCATGTTTACGCCTTTTTTGCAGCCAAACATACTTCATCCACTATCATTTTCTAAATGCATAATTATTGCAATTATATAATTTATTATCCATAATTTGCAAGTAAAGACAACATTTTTTGGTACTTCCGTTTTCAATGCTTTGGTACCGGTTGTTTACTGCATTAGAGCATACGTGTAAAAATGAAATTAGATTAATTCGCTACAATTTTTTAATTTACACCCCCTTCGTGCCAAGGTGGTTTATAAATTTGGCAACGGTGTCACAATAACGAATTATTATCATAGCATACGCCATCTGGCGTAATTTAAAGTAAACTTTCTTTTAATTTTTACAGAATACACTCTGAGAGGCGGATTTTCCAATGGTCAAAAGAAAAAACGAGTTCCTATATGAGCTGTTTCTGAGAGATTTGGCAGTAAAAATAGAGTATTAAAGCATGGGCTCGGTTTTTCTGTGCTAGCGAAGGTTTTTGTATCAAGACTTTGTATCAACACTGGTGCTCATTAGAAGCAGAGCGGGGGCAAGCGGTCTAGAATCCGCTCGTGTGAAGAGCGACGAGCGCTCTTAATTGTCTCAAAATCGAGTTGTTTTTTAAAGCGAAACCGCTTGCGAGTTCCGAGCACTCCTAAAAGTGCTCGAGCGGTTTATCTCGAGCGGAAAAAACGCTCGCAAGAGGCGTTTAATCCTTCCGTGCTTGAGGGCGGTTAAAAGCGCTCACGAGCGAGCGAAAAAAACGCTCAGGAGCGGAAAAAGCGCTAGGGAGCGGAAAAAACCCGCTCGGGAGGGATTGAAAAACCGCTCGTGGGCAGAAAAAAAGCACTCGAGCGCCGAGCACTTTAAGTAAACGCTCGAGTATCGAGCACCAAGCGGCCGCTCCGAAAAGTGCTCGCTTGGAGCGCTTTTTCGAGCGGAACGCTCGTGGGCAGTACCCAGCTCTGATTAGAAGCGAAATTTTGTGACGAATCTAAAATATGCACAAGGTACATGTTCATGATGAAATAAGGAAGATCTTGGCAAGCTGGCCATCGGCGCGGCGTCTGCTCTGGAGGCGCGCTATAGCGCGCCTTCCAATCTGGTGACTTTTCCACCAGGTCTCGTATATCATTCCCAAAGCTTTGAAATGCAGTGGTAAGGTTGTTATAAACAGCATTAAAATTATTGTAAGTAACTAATTGTAGTTACTAGAGCCATAAAATAGAATGCGAATGTTTAGGGAGACTATTTAGTCAAATTGACTACTGATTTTTAAAAATCGTGCTGAGGTACAAAATACCACTACCTTTCTTTCACCCGTTCTTAACAGCCTACTCACCTCTTTATTTTGTACGTGAACCAATTAGGGATGTTGGATTGAACTTGGGTTATAGGTACTGTTCAGCAGTCACGTTCAGGATTGTTAAAATGTATTACCCGATGCGTTTAATGACGTTAATAGTGACGAGACTACTGAAGATGTAGTTTCTTGCCTGAAACTATGGCAATGCAGGAGATGGAAGAAGATGATGCACCTTTGGAAATGGTAACTGAAATGGAATCGGAAGAAGAACCATAATAACTCGTCTGATGAATAAAGAATTAATCATTTAACTGTTGTACAATTTTTGTTGTTTAAATAAATATTTTTTAATAATAATAGTAACAATAAATACCTTTATTCGGCAAGATGGGCGAGATTCAGCGATAACATATCTGCTGTATGCTCTTTCCACCTAACTCTATATAAAATATAGAATAAACATATAAAAGTTAAAGCAAAAGGATATTCAGTAAACACCAAGGTAATTAATTATAAGTATACAATCGCAAGTACTTCATACACGCATATAAATCAATGCAGCCATCAAAAATAAGCAAAGGTGCAACTGTCTCAATGAAGTGTTTAAAGATTAGCTTTTTGATAAGAGATGCAATCTGAGCCTTTTTAAAAATTAACTTGGTTAAATACTTCCATCAGATGGTATATATGCTGCGAGTTAATTTTTTATCAATTTGCTACAAGAAGTGACTAAAACATGGAATATCTCCGAAACTGTTTGAAACAGCCTTTGACAATTATGTATCAAATTAAAGGTCTCAGAAAAAGGAAAACAACAGTGAAGAAAAAAATGGGGGGGTGCGATTTGAAAAATGGCGTTACGAATATTTAAAAATTTAAAAGTTGAGAGCTTTGAAAAAGTGGTATAGTCTCACTTTTTTAGACGGTTACGGATACCATAAGAAAATTCGATCTTTCCTTAATAAAGCAGTGAAAACTGTTTTGCAATATCTTTCACAGTTTTCGAATAATAAATTTTTAAATTACCCCTACAAATTACATTTTTGACATATCGGCGAAGCCCTTGGAGCAAAGATAGAATATCAAGTGTGTAAATTAAATACAATAACGGCCCTAATATGGGTCCCTGAGGGACACCTATTGAGATACTTTAAGTACTTTTGATGCCTGAGCATTGTAAAATATTGATTGCTGACGATTACTCAAGATAATTATTGTTTAGTGAAATCCCAGATTGTGAAACCTCAATGTAAATTAGTATAGCGAGCAAAACATTATGCGAGATCGTATCAAACACTTTAGAGTGATCTATTAAGTAGGGTAACTTTACCAGCGTCTCTTGCTTGTAATACATCGTCTGTTGCCTCAAGCAAAGCTTTACAGCCGCTAAGTCCAGTTTGATGTTCAGGCAAAATATTGTTTTGCATAAGGTATCTTCCGAGTCCAATGGCTTTTTCCATAATTTTTGACATTATGGACAAAATGTTGATAGATCTTTAAATTCGTTAAGCACATTTACTTTAGACAACTAAGGACATCACGTGAGAAATTGGTAGGAAATTTGGATCTAGACAAAACAACAATTCAAAACATGTGTCAAGAATGGCAATAGCAACAAAAAAAGGCGATTAATACCATCATGTCTTAGCCAGCGACGGACCTATGGGGGGGCAGGCTGCCCCTCCAATACTTAACTAGTTGGCAATTTTGACAAGAGTTGGTAATTTTCATTACTAGTTGGCGAATGCCGCGAAAGTAGGTAAATCGTAAATGTGATAAGTCGACTATTGAAGGAATGAGAAATTGCGGCAAAATCTATAAAAAAGGACTCTTTAATAGGAAAGTCGCTTCCTTCTTCTTCAACACAAGGTTGGTATTTTGGTAATGCTTTTAATTAGTATTAGAGACCGTATACTGATATCTTACATTTTCTACATGATTTATTAGACTTGGAAATACCACTTAATATTTAATAGATACTATATAACTCGTTTGAGTTGGAAATTTTTACAGTTGAGTTGGCAAAATGTCATGTCTGCCCCCCCCCCCCCGATTTGTTTGTCTAGGTCCGTCCCTGTGTCTTACTGCGTTGCATTTTACTGTGGAAATGTACATTATTCAATTTCTTCAATATTATGAAACGTGAAACTTGATCAAACCGCACCTCTAAGGGCCCGTTGCACAAACGCAGTTTAAACCTCGTTTAGATTAACGCAATGGATTAAGACATATGAAGAAATTCTAGACCTTAATCAACTGGTTAATTCCAAGCGAGGTTTAAACTGCGTTTGTGCAACCGACCCCAGTGGCGTAGCTAAGGGTTGTAGCATTGGATGGGCTGAGCCCTCTAGCGTTTGCGTATTGCGGAGTGGGTGAATTCGAAGTTTAATGATAGAGGCCATTATTAAACTGTTTTCGGTGTCATAATGAAGATATTATGATATCAAAATAGAAAAAAGTCGTGCGATTCTGCACAATAGGACAATGTAGGGAAAATTAGAATCGTACCTGCCGATTGCTGCCTCTTACTCTTTTATTTATTAAAGTCCCGATTTTTAATCTGGTCCATATTCAATACCACCGATCCTTGAACTCGTAGAAATCGATTGGCGAAGGTTTGACATCGCTGTCTCTGTACGTGCTCGAGTTAGACGAGGAACGGACGGAAAAAATCATCACAGAAGGCGAATTTTATTTCTTTGGAAAAATCCCCCTGAACAACACGTGACGCGTGAAGTTCCGCGTTCTGAAATGCGCGACGCAAAACGCTGCGCATAAAAGGTCCACCGACGCGGAATTGCGGGAACGGGAGCGAGGCGAATGCGGGATATATTTGTACAGCGGGATATGTAACCCGCTCCCGTTCCCGCATTCACGCCTCGGTTTGCGTGGACGTTAAACCGGCCTTATACAAAAATAACGCGCGCCCTTTGACACAACACACAGACGTATATTAAACGTCCACTGTATGTACATATGAGGACCTTCTGCACTAACATAGCCCGTACGCGTATACACAGAATTTGCATACTGGACGTCCACTGTAGGCCCAAATGTCTACGATATGGACAGTTTATCTACGTACATACTGTACGTCCGGCGCCAGCGACGTCGGAAGTGAATAACGGTGGGGGGGGGGGCAAAAATCAACGACCATAGAGTCTGAAACGTCCCTCCCATGCAAAATTGTGTACGAATTAATGCAAAGCAGTGGGTTTTGTAAGTGACCCTGAAACCTGTTTATTTAATCAATCAAATAATGTATTTTTGAAAGAAGTTTTGGAAAAAATTTAAAAAAGTGTCGGAGGATGTCTAGTTATGCAATTGAGCAGCAGACCATACCCATAGATCATCAATATTTATTTAAAAAATAATGAAGAACTAGAACATACAAAAATTTTGTTCCTATTTATTGCACTATTGAGCATTGTAAAGAAAGCAAGTATAAAAAATTAAATATATCCAAAAATTTTCCGCCTCTCCGCAGTTTTGCTGGCAAATCCTTTCAACGTATCCTCTACTTCTACACTCTTTGTAATTTCTGCACGCACATGCCGTAGGTAGAAGATGTGTTAGTCGCTTTTGAATGATTTATCTATTCATTCTTAGAGGGGGCGCGGCCCCCCTTGTGTAACAACTGAGGGGACGACTCGCCCCCTCTGACACGTACTTC